TCACTTACATTGTATAAACTCATTAAACAATAATGCTTTTGTTCTCTCTATAGATGTAGTGTCACGTGTGATAATAGGAGTTGGCAATAGTATTTCTTTTTTCTGGATGTACTGTACTGTAATTGGCTGTATTAAATTATTTTTATTTATCATGCATGCAAAATACTCAACAACGATTTAAAGCAAACATAAAAAATAAGGTAGAAATAAAAGGTCTATTAAAAGGAGAGAGTGGGCCATTACAGGAAAGTATTGTTTAAAAGTAACAACGCTATTTTGTTATCTTAACACCAAACTGTACGTTACTGTATTACTTAATTTTTTTAGCTATCGGGTATAAAATAATCATGCGGTTGAAAGTTTGTGGGGGACATTTGTTAATAATATTTAGTTGTTCAAAACTCATAGCAACGGAGAGTTTACAGTAGTAGAGTATTATGTAAAAAATATAGGTCTCTAGAAAAGTCATGTGAACAAATATAGTTTGTAACGTTTGGTTGGGATCAATGTGGTCTATTTTGTTTGATTTGATGTATTTTTTGATGGATCAAAACCTTTGGCGGGCCAGGGGTTGAATACTACAGTAGGGGCATAGACATATGCTCCCGCTGGGAGCCTATTTTTGATCTTGTACACATTCACAATCTTTACAGCTATCATGCTAAAAGTACTGTACAAAATCTGATATTTTTATTTGTTGATGAAGCTAACAAATAAACAACCAACCAAGGCCCATTATTATAAATAGCAAATATGTCAACGTTTTTATTTATTTATCCTGTCTTTAAAGTGATAGCACTTTCAGTGAAACTGCACTGGTTTTACAAGTGGATCACATTAACAAAAAAAATCTAACAGAAATGCAAATCAGAAATACAGTAAAAATCAAATGATCAGAAATTAAACAAAAAAAGTATTATAAACAAAAAAACAAAAACTAATATTAAAGATAGAGGATAAATATTCATTAATTTACTTAAAGGTATAGCAGGTTCTAGCAATAATGTCTAAAGTGAATGAACTTTAAATAATTTTAAACTTGCAGTAACCCCAAAGTCAAAAGTATAAAAAAACAAATTGGCAAGCTACAGTACTGTAGCATTCAGGACAGTTAATCAATCTGGAATGGAAGGCAGACATTTCGCGGATTGGTTTGATTGTCCATCTCTGTAGGTATATTTTTTTTGGAATTTTTTGATAGTCATTATAATGTACAGTATTTTTAAACCTTGCATGAGCTGTATAGTATAGTATAAAGCCATGGCCTGGGATTTTTTTGTTACATTCTCTTATATTTAAAATGATTTGATTTTAAAATTATTAATTTAGCTGATTTTAAACCGATTGCACGCACAATCAAAGGGAAGCCATCCAGATCTGCTCATCTGGATAGAGCTATCAGATGTTCACGACGATCAGGTTCACACTAGAGCCCTAGTACTGGATCGGGAGCTAACCGTTAACACCTATGTGTGACTGCCCGATCGGTTAGTGCTAACGTTATCAGGATCCGGATATGATAACCGTTAGCGAGTGCTATCGGTTAGCAAGTTCAGCACGTATCAATAACCATGCACAAGTACACGTTTCCAATTTCCAGTTTCTTATTGGTCAGTGATCCCATCCAGGTATACATTCAGGCAGAAAACAATGGAATTGCCATATCATACACAACCTGCGTATTGTTCGGTATTTAAGCACATGGCGGAGATACAGTATGCACTCTATGGAGTGGCTACTTTCGTATTAACTCTGCGATCGTTTTCAATTCTAATTGGGAATCAACATAGATGGAATCAACATGCTACGATATGGTATCAAATTATACTTGTAACTTCAATATACTTATAAACCAATGTTAAAATATAAAAACATTATTTTAAGAATGAAAAAAAAAATATTATCATAATGATAATTGCAAGCACTAAATTTTTCGGTGACCGACGTCCTACACATCAAATGAGACGTAAACACTGGGTGTACGCTGTGGCCGCGCACAGCCGGCAAAGACCAGACATACGCTGTGTTCGCGTGCAACAAATATCTGAGAAAAAGCTATTATTAGTTCGGTATAAAGTACGTCAATGCATCTGATTTACGATGTATTTCAAGCTGTGAACTCGAATTTCAAATGATTTTTAAGTCTTGGAAGACGATGTACAGTATTTCATAAAAATAATTTATTACTGCACTCAAATCTTCAAATTATTGGGGGGGGGGGGGATTACTGTATATCAGAGTGCCTCATTTTGCATGAAAATGATGCCATAGTCTGGGGTGGGCTTAAACCCAAGGGTGGACTTATACTGTACCTGCATCAGTACGGTAATTAAATTACAATATGCTGCACACTGTACCGATAAAATCAATGCTTAAATAATATTGTATTGTACAATGGTAGGAAACAATATTTGTTTAATACTGTATCAATTATAAAATGTCAAACAACACTGAATGGCAATCTTAAATAAATAATTTTATAGGCTGCAGGCCTACTGTTGATCAATACAGTCTAAATGATGGTACCAGTATAGAAAACTATAATGATTTTACATAATAAAACAATTCAATATTTTAATAATGTAGATTTATATAAATTTGGACCAGGCCGCCCAACAAAAAAGTGGATCGGCCAGATCAATTAGGAATTCTGCTTTAGGTAATTCTGAAGTCTCTCCCACCACCAGAGTTAAGGCCTGTTTACACTTCAACGATAATGATAACGATAAATAAGCTAGAAAGCAATTGTTCATATAGAAAATTAAAGAAGTAAGAAGTTTTTACACTAGAACGATTTGATAACGATTTATCAGTTATGCGATAACAACATAATTTGACAAATCAAATCAGATGACGTCATAATCATGGAAAACCTTTAATTAAAATCGTAGTAGTAGCAACGATTTTATCATTTTTCCATGATTATGACGTCATCTGATTTGATTTGTCAA